TGCGGCGCCGCGCGGCAGTACGTTCGGAGAATTGATTGGCTGGCCGCAGCCGAGCCCCGCCCCAGGGCCTCCAGGCCGTGCTTCTATTGGCTGCCTCTCCGAGATTCCTCGGGCTCCGGGCCTCCCGGCAAGGAAACAATCAAGCGGGTACCCGTGTCCCGCTGCGCGAGGCCGGGCCCTCCGCCTCCAGCCCCGCGCCCTTGAAGCCCCCTCTCATGATAAAGGTGCTTCCCCCGCGCGGCAGCGGCGGGCACCCCTCGTCCCCAACCCCGTTTTGGCCTGTTCACGTGTCCGGGACCTCGTTCCCAAGGCCGGCAGGGCTGCCGCAACTGGGCTGGACACTGAGAGGCGACTAAGCCGGGGGCAGCCCGGGGAGGAGAAGCCGACGGGTGACCCGCGGGCGGCGCCCTGCTGAGCGTACTCGGAGTAGGGGCCCCCAACCAGGGAAAGCCTGGAAGCCTTCTCAGAGGAGGCGGCTTTGCGCTGCTCACAATACTCCCTTGGCCTAACGCCCTCCAGTGGCTTCCTCGCGCAGCTGGAATAAAATTAGATTCCCTGCTGTGACCGAGACGGACCCTCAACAGGGGTTTTAAAACAAAACCCATAGGCGAACGCCGTACCCCGGAGGTCCGGGGTAGAGGCTAAGGCCCGGTGTCTGTGAAGGTGCCCCGAGCAAGTCCAGCGTGCGCCGGCGTCTCCCCGCCCACCGCCTGGACCTTGTCTCCGACCTCCGTGAACCTGCCTCGCTTTCCTGCAGGCGCACGGGCCGGACCTGCCTCGGATCTCGCCGCGGCTGGCTCCGCCTCAGCACCCGGGCCGCGACTCGAACGCCGCCCCTCCGAAAAGCCTTCCCTCAACTACCCCCTTCTTGGGTCCCCGGGTAGTTCGTGCACACCTCGTGTGCAGCCGGCACTCTGCTGGGCACTGGGGGTGCAGCCGCGCTCGGGGACCGTGTCTTCTGCTGGGGGTAAGACGGTAGACGAGCTCGTGCAAGGGACCGGGCAGCAAATAAAACAAAACAGGGAAATACGACAGACGGTGAATCTCCAGGAACGTGGGATGGGCTGAAGGACAGGAGGGCCCCCAGGGGAGGAGGAGACCATAGTCCCCTTTATGTCACTTACCAGCCGTGTGTCCTGGGGCTGACCCATTAACCTCGCCTATCTGTAAAGGAAGATGATGATAACCCCTTGCCGGGGTCATGGGAGAATTAGCCCAGCAAATGGGGGAAAGGCCTTGGCTCTGGCTGCCGTGGAGGCTTGC